ACCAGTCAGGTTTTTGGCTTGTGCTTAAGGCAAAATTTATACCTAAGGATAAAACAAAAAGTTTTTGTTAAAACGCTGTTTCAAAAACAAGTTGCCACATTGACGTCTGTATCAAAATATTAAGCATCATTCAAGTTTTTGAGTACTCTAAGCTTCAAATTTCGCGACACGGAAGGAAAAAGATAGTATCTGAAGACTATTTACTTCTGTTTGGAATTGGCAGGAAATCTGGACGCTCAAATGTTTCGACAACATTTGACATAAATTGGTCTTAACTTGGGTGTCCTTTTGGCCTGGGCTTGTTATGGGGTTCTTTGAGGACTTGAGTGGTCAATTGGCCTTTTATGGGTAGGGTTTAAATTAATAATTAACTTTTTTTGTAAAATATGTATAGTATATTAGTCATTTGTAAATTTTCTTTCTTAACGACTAGCCTTTAATACGGTAGTTTTAAATCATTAAAGGTAGTACATTAATACCCATGTGAAATTTTTCCTTAACTGAAACTTTTAATTCTTAAACTTTTTCTCATTTCTTCGCACTTTAAATTAAGGTTTAATTGCAAGATAATTTAAAACTTTTCACGGCACGTTTGTGTGGCCAACAGGAAGACAAAGTTTTTTACTCAATCTTGAGTTAGAAGAAACGTTTTCGAGGTTTAAAAGACGTTTTGAGGGTTTATTGGGGTTATAAATGTGATTATTATGGCCATATGTTCTGATGGGCTGTCTGGCTTCTGTTCAGAGGGCATTGTTAGGTTTGGATGGGTTTTGGGGGATATATGCGGTAGGGCATGATAGGGCTAAGGATGAACCTGGCTAAGGCTTTGGCTAGGGCTAATTGTAAGGTTGAGGTTGGGGCTAAGATTGAGGTTACGGCTAGTGCCATCGCTAAGGCTAAGATTAAGACTAGGACTAGGTCTGGGATTATGGCTAAGGCCCAAGCTAAAGTTGACTACAAGGCTAATGCTTATTTTGCGGCTATGAAAAGGCATTGCCTAGGGCTGAGGCTCAACTTAAGGCTAGTGTTACGGCTAAGATTAAGACTAAGATTAGGACTAAGATCAAGGCTAAGGGCTGTTGCTAGGAATAGCGCTAAATTTAAGAATAGGGCTAAAACTTGACCTAAAGGTAGGACTAGATCTAGGACTTTGGTAAGGATAGAACTATGGTTAAGAATCTAACTATATAATCATTCTTGTTGACAAAACTTTTATACTTTGTTGTCTAAAAATCAAAGCCAAGTTCCAGTAAAATGTGCAAACTAGAGTAAATAATGCCAAATTAAATAATATATTAATAACTGTCACAACTTTCTTTGTACTGCCGTTAGTTCTTGGTTTTTTGGTGTTTATTCTCATAACAAATGTTTTGCGTATATTTGCTAAAATTTGTATTTAAATTAAGGTTTTTATTGTCACAACGGCATGAACTACATTCTTTGAGAGTAATTTGTCTGCAGATTATTAAAGTCACGTTTAGTTTGGCAAATTTGTCTGTTTCGAGAGTAAACTTAACGTTTTTAGTAAGCTTTCAAATTTAAATTTACATTTAAAATCTCAGTAAGTAATTTTTTAGAAAATAATTAGAGAGAAATAGCTCTGCTATCCCGCAGCCTTATGGCTAACGCTGTGGGATAGGGCTTGAAACTCTAGTATACCGAAACTCGCTTATAACGAACAAATGTTTAATCAGCAAGCGGTTTGTGATACAGAAGTTTCAAAGTTTAAGATATAAAAATAGAGCTTTGTAGTGTAGAGTATTAAGCTTTTGTACGTCAAGATTACTGGGGTAACCGATTATATAGTGGTTTAGCCAACGTAACGTTTCATGGATTGAAATACAAGGGAAATTGTTGGTGTTTTTAAATTTTGATTTTGTATGGCTTGGCTATGGCAATGCAGTGTGGTGAAAGGCGCTGAAGATGTATAAAACGAATCTTTTTATGCCAGGGGAGATAAAGTTATGGATTTTTTTTTAATTTTGTAGGTTTTAATTGTATGGTGAGTAATGCCATGCAATTAATTTCCTAGGCTTTACCTGGTTATATATCGTTCTTGTAAAAACTTTAAACACAGGACAGCTGTATTTTTATGTTAACTTGGTCAAATGTATTTGTAGCATATAAGGCTACATAGGTTAACTCGATTAGCTTTAGTATTCAATGTTTACTTTATTACAAAATGTATAAATACTGTGAATGCTATAATTGTATTACCATATTTATTACAACTTGACTGAGCAGGGAAATAATCAAGTTTTGCTCTGAAATGTTAGACTATATTATTAGAGCTGCAAACTGCTTTTTTTCATTGATCACGTAGACTTTAGTGTCCTAATATAATATTGTTTTCTTAAAATTGAAATCTACCTTTAGAAAAGAGCGTATTTTACATTCAAAGTCACTCAATATTGTAAGTGTACTTTTTGACAAAGGTAAATACAATTACTACTTAATTAATTTTACTAGTTACGTAGTAACACACCGGACATACCATGTTGTTATTGGCAGTATTGTTTTCGAAAGTGTGCTTAACCTTGGTTTACAGACTTTAGTCATTCTTTCTTAAATCTTTTGGCCGATTTTGACATAAAATTCGAAACTTCAAAAAATTTTAAAATTTTTTAAATGTTAAAATTTTTAAAATTTGAAATTTTTAAGTTTTTTTAAAATGATTTGAAAAATGTCGCAAAATATTAATGACGAGCCATGTCCAGTTCTATTTAATAGCCTTTAAAATGACGTTTTTTACTAAAATATTTACGCGATTACTCTGTTATTATGCTAATGAAGTAGTTGTTAATGGCTCCATTTAGTACGTCAAAAGATTGTAAATAACTGAGAGTACATTGGATGTAAACACTTGTTCACCGCTTTGTTTGCAGCTTTATTTGTAAATATTGTAGTAAAGCTTTAGAAGATTGAGGGTGGTTGAGAAGATTTTGAAGGGGTTGGAGGGGGTGAGTAGGATAAAGGGTACTGTAGGGTTAGAAGTGGTATGGGGTACTGTAAGTAGGGCTGAGTGAGAGATTACACTTTTTTAAGGCGGAATAAGTAACATACCCATCCTATCTTATCCTACCCTACCCTACCCTACTCTACCCGACCCTTGCTTTAAAGCTGCTTTTACCTTGACCCTAATCTCGCCCTAACTTTACCCTTGATTTAGTCCTACCCTTGTTTTAGACCTACTCTACCCTTGTCTTAGCCCGAGTTTAGTTTAGACCATATCCTTCCCAAAAAAACTAAAATACATGAAAACCCTCTAAAATATGATATTAACTACCATTTGGTTGAGGCAAAAAATAAACTTTTAATTGCCTTAAGGTGAGATTTATAGTGTTTGGAGGGGGAACAGCAGATGGTCCCTGAGGCATTGTTTGTCGCCGATCCTAATCCAATTCAAAGCCGCTTCATTGTTATGCCAATTGAGCACATTAAGTGCACGAGCGGGCCAGAAATGGCACGTTTTTGTTGATAAGGAAATCATTTGGACGCCTTTTTTGGGTTTTGGTGATTAGAGATTGGCTTACAAAGTTGGGGTTGAAGGGTGAAAGTATATACAATGTACTAGCGTTGGGATTGGGTGTATTGTTGATGTGATCATTGAACGGTGGGTTTTAGACATGGTAGGGTAGGGTAAGGTAGCGTAGGGTAGGGTATAGTAAAATACGTTGCCAAATACTAAAATTTAAAAATATATAGTCCTTAACACAAAAAGTACATTTTACTGTACAAAACAGTTTTAGATCTACGTAACTTGAGTGCTTTCGTTTATATTTGACATTACTTTCAGTACGTATTTATTTGTACGTACAAATTTTGTCTGGAAATACTACGTATATTTTAATTCCAACGTTTAAAATGAGTTTTTAAATCGAAGATTATAGTTTTTGGGCTTTCATATAGGTAAGGTGGTTTTTAGGTAATATTGCCTTAAAAATGTAATCTTTAATATCATTTTGTGATAAACAAAGTGGCCGTTCTGAGGTAATATCGATCTAAAACAAACATTTAGTTAGCAGCTATCTAAAATGACAAAATTTAGGTAACAAAAATTTAAAATGGCATTTTTAGGTCAGGTAAGGCTAAATGACCTTTTTGAGTAAGGTAAACCCTAAATGACAGTGAGTTTGGGGTGATATGAAGTTATAATGACAAGTTACATAACCAGATGCTTTTGAAGGTAAACAGTCTAATTGATGTCATGAGATGGATATTAAGTGCCAACCGGCTTTGTTTTTTGCTTTTTTTGAAAGAAAAATAGAGAAAGGGGGGATAAAGGGTTATGGGTTTAAACTGTGATTTCTGATAAGGTTTATTGCCAAAGTGGCAGGAGCATCAGGTTTTTTAGTTTGAAACGGTTTTTTTGTGTTTGCTCTAGTCCTAGCTCTAGATCTAGCATTAGCCATAGCCCTAGCCTTACCTCTAGTCTTAGCTATAGCGCTGCCCTAGCCTCATCTCAATTTATAGCCCTAACCTTTGTCCTAATCATCGCCTTTATTTAATTACAACAAAATTTTTAAAATGGGGCACAGAATTATTTGATCAACTTAGAATACTATTTTTAAGCTTGGAAATGGCATATTTTACGTTGCAAATACATTTCGATACAATTCGAACGCCAAAAATTGTAAATTACGCAACGCCGAAGCCGTGCGTGATGACATTTAGCGGTTTAGTGCAGTCATACGGCTTCGAATACAATTTTCGGTAGAGATTTGAACAAAGGAACGTATCTAATATTAATATATACACGTTACGGAGATATACAACGCTCTTGTAATTTTTAATGTTCTACGTATTTTAGGTGTATTTTCGGAATTTTTGGGGAAAATTTTGGGTTTTTGAGGGCTTTAGGTATTAAAATTCATTTTAAGGTAATTTTTAAAGATATATAAGACCGGTGCGCGTATTTTACTATATAAGTCATGGCGTTTTTCAAACATTTTTTGATATTACCTATGTCAATATAAGTCTAATTCTCTCCATATTCCAGGATGGGCAACTCCAACTCGAGTTCCCCGCCCTCCAGCCTTCGCAAGTCCGCCTCAACCCATTACAAGGACAAAGACGAACCTAAGATACGACGAACCTCACGATCAGTACGAGTACCACCAAGTACCAGGTTGTCGGTGACAAAAGCACCAGTCAAGAATACACTGTCATCACAACTGACGAACAAAGAAGAGACTCACGATGATATACACAAAAGCCATTCCATGTACGAACTGAGGAAACGATCAACTGGGAATGGCAATGGGTTGAGTCATCAGAACTCGATTCGACTACTCTCACCTCAACATAACGGCAGTAGTGATGGGTCGGAGACTGAGTAAGTTGGTTATTTTAATGTAAGATAGTACGTATCTTAACTTATTTTAGGTTTAAATTTGGGGTTTTAGCAATTTTTGTCGAACTGAACGAAATGTCACAAAATTATCGATTTTTTAAAAATTGTCAAAACGTAAAATAGCTTTTGATTTTTACTTCCTAAATTCACTTTTATAATTTTCTGACGCCAAATGGCAATTGGCGCCTATTTTTGCGTGTTTGAACGAAGTGTCACAAAAATTATTGATTTGCTCAAATTTAAAAAAAAACCTGTTATATTGGTAAGTATGACATATGGCAAAAATATAAATTTTACAAAAAGTTTAAAGCCGTTTTACAGTTTTTCACAAGGTAATTCATCTGTTACGTTGTGTTCGTTTTGGTATATTATCCAAGATACCAAAACGGATTTATTTCGGATTAATGGTTAATCTTTCTAAATTGCGGCTTCTGCAAGTTAAATTTGAAAAAAATATACAAAGATATACATATATCTTGCATTATATATTATTTGGAACTTTTAGATAGGCATTGATTTGTAGTTGTCAGTATTTGGTACTAGGATATACATAAGTAGGAATATTACTGATAGTAACATCTTTTATTAGAATAGTAAATGTAAAATACGGTGTGCCTTTTTAGCTCAAGTTAATTTTGCTTTTATAACACGACAACAAAAAATATATAAACTTTGTGACACTTTGTCTAAAAACCAATAATTTTTGTGGCATTCTGTACAATTTAAGTAAAACTTTTTCAAAGCAAGCATGACTTAAAAAACGCTTTTCAAACATTAGTTAAAACCCGAAAAAACAAAACTTGTGATTTTTAAATCAGCAGAAAACAGTAAAATAGATATATTATCCATGGTTTGCAAGGAAAAGAGACATGATCCTTTGTGATCTTTAAATATCTTTTAACTTTAAATCATTGCAAATTGGCCCTGACAGCCGGCTATAAATTAAAAACCGTTCGATTGACGCAAAACGCCTCAGGGCTTGAAAAGATGGATGTATTTTGTCTCAAAAGAGGTTTTTCAGAAATTAAAAAATTTTTAAAAATTAATTTGGAAAAAATTAAAGTGAATTTACCACTTTTTTTACCCTGCCCTACCTTACTCTATCCTACCCTAGCCTACTGTAACAAATCTCAATTTTCTCGTAAAAAATAATTTTCAATTAAAAATTTGTCATTCTTAATTGTAGTCTTTTAAAAATGACATTGATTTTAAACTTTGAAAAAAGAAAATTAAACTGATACGTGAAAATTGTCAAAAAATTTGTTTTTGCATTTCAAAAAGGTAGTCATAAATAGTAGAATAAACTGTTATTTGTCTGCCAAAGTCACTGTAAACAAGCTAAAGTAACATTTTAATGCTGTTTTGTCAAAAAGCATGTAAAAAATAAACAAATGCATATATGATGGTTGAAAATGGCAATTCGTTTTAATTTTAAGCAAGTTTCAAAATTAAAAAAAAAGTTTTTTTGTAAAATACGACTTGTTTACTAAATATGATACATGATAGTACTAAAACCTTGAACATGACAGTAAAAACATTAAAATAAAATTTTAAATTTAAATTGCCATTTTTGCAAAGATATAACAAATATTATATTTAAGTTGTGAAAGATGTCGGAATGTCATAATTATGACAGAAGTCAGTTTAAAACATTCTGGAACATCTGCTGAACTCATAACTTTTGATGTGACAAAAAGGTCAAAAAGATAATGGGTTTTTGGTTACTTATGTTCTATCAGTAGAAGAATGGCATAAAACAAAAAATGGCAAAAATTTTTAAAATTTTGAAAAATTTTAAAATACGATGTCTGTTATTTTGTAGGGTATAATAGGTGTGATAGTGGTATAACAGAAATGATAGGGATATGCTAGGGTATTAGTAGTATACTAAGTATGATATTAGTATATTATGTATGGTAGTGGTAACGACAAAATTTTTTTTGAATTTTTCGATAACATACATAAACAAAAAACTTTAAAAATGCCAAAATCAATTATTTTTTTTCAAAAACTATCAATTTTACCATTTTCAGTGTAACAGCTTGCCTAAAATCGAGTAAATTTGCTACGACCTCAGTTTACCCATCAATGTGCCGTCAGAAGTCGTTTCGACGTGGAGACCCCACCCATCCCCTCAGCCCTAACCACCGTGAAATCTTACGAACTTGTTTTGAAAACCCTCACCTTGATTTGGGTAATAGGATATGCTCAAGGGTGTTTGAGCGACGGCCAGATTATCAAAAGTTTATAGCAAATGTGGGCAAAGACAAATGGCCATTGATTACTACGAATCTTCAGAATTATTTAGAAGAGGTCGTGATTGCTGTAAGTTTTTAGTTTTACATTTATTTTTTAATTGTTGTCGTGAAAATAAGATTTTAATACGATATTTAATGAAAAATACAATTTTCCAATAATTTTTGTGGCATTTCGTCTAATCTTCAATATTTAAAAGAAATTAAAAGAATGTTAAATTATGGGCTGGAGTTGATTCGGAAGCTTATTATAAATCTAGTTATATTTTACTTTATCACTTTTTTACCATCAAGAACCTACTACAATATAATATTATTTTCCCCACTTTTTTCTATTTCATATTGACATTTAACTTTTGATTTCTCACTTTTCTGTTCTTTGTTTTTTCTTTATGTTTTCTTTGTAATCCTTCTTGGAACACCCTGAACTTGACGGATTAGATAGGTTTATATCAATATTTCTTCAATTCTTCGAAGGCAAACAAAACCATTAATATCAATTAAACTTTGTCTTGTTTTCAGCTTGTTCTTACATCTAAAATATATGTTTTTAAGTTTGTTATGCTGTTCTTAAACTAAAATTTGATAAAACATGAAGATAGCAGCTTTTTTGAAATTTTTGTGAACCGGTCCGCTTTAGCTTTTTCATACTGAGGCGTTGATAGACATATGTTTTGACTGTTATTTGATTGTGGCCATCTAAAATATAATTATCTTTTATAATAATGAGTTTTTCAAACTTTTTTATTTTTTGTGAATCGGTCATCCGAAAGTTTTTTCTTTCTTGAGGCTTTAATCTCTTTGTCAGCTGATTTTTATACAAATTTAATGTGTTTAAAATGTTAAAACTAAATTTTAAAACGTTTTTGGAATTAAAATATTTGGCTCAATAACACTGTATTACACTTGTCGCAGCTTTGTTGTGTTATCATGTGAATTGTTGTTAACATGGCTTGTTTACATGTCTGCAAGTTATTTGGCTCTGAATTTCGTTGGCAAAATACTCAAAAGTTGACAAATGGAAATTGCATTTGATTTGTTTTTCTCATAACCAACCGGCTGTCACTAATTTACACTTTTATGCCTGAGGAATGTAAAATACGCGCAAAAAAAATCTAGTTTTTTAAATACAAACAGGATCGTCAAACTTTTAATCAATGATAAATATTAACTATACGATGACTATATATAAAAATGTAAATTCTTTCTAACTCATCTCAATATCATTTTAGGTAGACAACATAGAGACAGTGCAACGACTCTCCCGTCGCTACGGTGAGGAACATGTAGCTCTAAAACAATATGGATTTAAACCAGACATTTGGGTGTCGTTGGCCGATGCTTGTACTGTAGAGTGTGTGATCTTGGATATGGCTAGCCATGCTCCCACAGATACTGTAGCTGCGTGGAGTCAGTTTGTGTCAGTCATGTTCTCATCGATAAGAGATGGTTACTATAATGCCTTGAGGGCACAGAGAATGTCAACGAGGAAGAGTGTGAGGAGGCAGGAAAGTGTCAGTACTCAGGATTCGGATAACTCGGTAGGTACTGTAGCAAATACTGTAACATGATAGTAGGGTAGGGTAGAGTAAGGTAGGGCAGAGTAGAGTAGGGTAGGGTAAAATAGGATAGGAGAATGAGTAAAATAGAACTGTTACCTCTTACTTCTGTAAAATAAAGCCAGTCTATGAAATTTCAGACCTCCAAGTACATGGGATCTCAAGAGTACGTTGATGCCAACTATAATATAATGGACTTGGTCAGTCCGCGGAAAGAAAGTTTCTCCAATAACTACAAAATCGACCGACCCATATTTGAGTGATGTGTATGATACGATAGATTACTGTGTTATTTGTACGGTTTTTCACTTTTTCATTCCATTTTACATGTTATCTGATATATGCAAATTTTTACGATAATAAAGTACGACTTTATATTATAAGTGGAGTAATGTAAAATACGACCTTCGGGGTTTACTTTGTTTTAAAACTCAATTGTAACAAAGTTGTAATTTGTTTTTGGTAATCAATTACCAGACCAACGGGACAACATATACAGTTACACTTATATTGACATAAAGAACTTCTTTTTTCAATGTAATATTTGCAAAGTTGTGAGTTTATAAAAAACAGCATTTTGTCATGTTCAAAATGGCAAAATCAGTTGTAATTACTAATCGACATAACTGTTGGAAACGACGTTTTACTGACTTCAAGTTGATACCGCTAATGTTTGAAGAAGCATTGTAAGTTGTTTTTTGTATTGAAGGTACTTTAGAAGAAACAAAGTGTTACACGAAAAAGTTGCCAATTAAGTATTAGGTGCCGTCATAAAGAAGCCGCCATTTTTTACAGGAAATTATTATACATAAAAAGTATGGCGGTCATGGCTAGTTCTTTATGTCGGCGCCTAATATTAAAGAGCAGGGGAGAGGGTATTATCCGAAAGTGAGAGAAAGGGGTAGGTAAAAATTTTTTTATTTATGCCAACTTATGACTAAAAATTTTGTGACTTCCTCTTTTATTAATATATCATCTAATGGTTGAGCTAATACTCTCCCAATGCAATGAAAAACCTAATAATTACTTAAAGTATTAATTAAAAATTAATCTTTTTGTTTGCCTAGCTTATTATAATTTCATTCAAAACGTTGCATTTGAGAGTTGGTTTTGTTTTAGGTTCTTGACGTTATTTATCTTTCTAGTTTAGATTGCTTTACATTAGACAAGACAAATGAATACAAAATTTTTGTAGAAGAAAGCTTACTACTTTCAAGGAGCTGAAGACAATCAGAACGTTTTAGTCCTGACTCGGATAGACATGGGGGAAAAAGCCGGGACTACTATCAGGTCAGGCCGGCTTTGAGCAAAATTTAGATTAGGACAAGCCTAAAAAATGGGCTCCCCCGGCTTGTTCCTCATATTATATATCCGGACTCGGAACGCTCTGATTGTCATCAAACTGTTCTTATAAATAGTAAGATCATGTAAATGTGAGATCTTTTTTAAAATAATAGCACGCAGTTTAAAGCCTGGTTTGAGTAAATCGAGATCAAAAATGACGTTTTAAATTTACGCCAAATTGGCTTAGTGTTTCAAGCTAATAACTTTGTCATTTTTTAGCTTTTTATCATTATTCTTTAATAAAATGATGAAAAAATTTTAGTAGATCTATTTAAATTTTTAAACCGTAACGTTGTCTTTAAACTTGTAATCTTTTCAAAAAAGTGCTTGCAAAACACAATGCCAAAGTAACCAAAAGGCAAGAAATTTAAACATAGTTGTTTTAAAACTCAAAACCGCAAGTTAAAATTTTTCATGTATACTTTTGGTACTACAAATTATACATTTATACATGATTTATACATTAAATTTTTTTGTCTTTTTACCCTTTTGCCAACCTTCTTGTTTTAATTTTTTCTCTTTCTAAACCATAGTTGCTTGCCCAGCAAGGCACGATTTGACATGAATTTGTAGTTTTTTGTAATAAAATTGTTTTTATTAATGCAGATGTAAATTTATGTACATTTAACATGCTTTCTTTTCCCTTCATTACTATAATATAATATATTATCCAAATACCAAAACAAGAACAGATATCTAATCGTTTTTTCAAAACTTACCCACCCCTTTGTCGCTTAAATTTGAGTCCGTTCTCTGCACTGCATTTGCATAAAAACAACATTTTGTAAAGTTGTCAAAGCAAAACTGTCTCTTTCTCTTAATAACCGGCTTTAAACTAGAGGGTAAGGCCACAAGGACGCACATCTGGCTGTTCGTGGGGCCAAAAAGACGCCGTTCTCTCGCGATTTTTATAAAATTTTGGAACAGTAATGGCTGGTAATGAATCTTGTTCACTTTGAATTCAGTTTTTTTGTTTTTTATGAGTTTTTAGGTTAATAGAGTAGAACTCCTATATAACATCTTTTGTGAAAAAAAAGAAATTGAAAAAACGAAAAAATTTTAAATTGGTTATTATAAAAAAGTATTGTTATACGGATTTTTAAAAGTACTGTGTGTTAACTAAGTGCTTAAAAGTTGTTCATTATACTGAATTGTTGTTATAGAGGAGTTCTCTATATAAAAGTTCTACTGTACTTTAATACAAGACTTTTAAACTTTTTAAATAAAAATTTTTAATTTTAAAATTCTTAAATATGAGTATTTCAAAAACCTAAAATTAGTGTTAATTTAGCTTTAAAACTTTGTTTTTTTAATTTCGCTTTTGGCTTTTTAAAGCGGTTTTATTTTACAAAAAAGTGAACTTTAAACTTATTTTTTGACTAGATTTTTTGAGAGATTAAAGTAAAGTTTAAATTTACATAACTTAAACGTTTATAAATGTTAATTTTGTCGTCCTTACAAGAGGAATTGTATTTTACAAGAAAACTTAACCTTGACTATTATATATAAGTTTAAGATGACCTGAAGACATCCCATGGCCTGGCTCTTTTCTATAAAAACCTCAAAAACAGCGTTTGTATCAAAAGTCAGCTTTCTTACTTGTAGGTCTCATAAGGTTTGGCGCAAAAGTCTGTCGTAATGGCAATAGATCACGTTTTTTTGGCTCACCTTGCAATAGGTCTAGCCGGCCGACATTTTGTTTGTTTTTAAGGCTAGCTGAAAGTCAATTTTTAATTTAGCTTAGCCTGAGCGCTAGACTGAATTTGGCTTGGTTTAAAATTGAAAAATAAATTTTAATTTTGAAAGTTTTAGCTACGCTTTGTCTGAAACTTGCCGTGTAGCCTAAAAAAGTGTTTATTTTTGTTAATTTACACCCAAATGCTAGCCTACTCATAGTCAGGCAACTTATTCATTACGTCAACTGTTAATGTCGCACTTTGACGTTTCTTAAAGCGCTTTATACCATGGTAAAAGGCTTTACACAGTTCTTTTATAGTCTTATAAGAAGGTGTACGCGAGGATTTACAGGTCAAAGGGGGAGGTCTTAGCCGGACTGATGTCAGTTTTAAGTTGACGTTATGTTCATTGTATTCATTGAGTTGATGTTAGATGGCTGCATATGTTGGTCTGATGTTGCACATTATAGTTTTGTTGTTTGATGGTTTATATAATCAAATAGTTGTTATATTAGGTTGTTTAAATAATTCTGCGCCCACAGAACCCCGCAAGTTTGCTGTGTGAGAGGGCACAAAATTGCTTGAACGAAGTAACAGCAAATTTACTTTAGTTTTCATATTCGATTATTTCGTGTGTTAATTTCAACTAAAATCGGTTGTTCTACCGTATTAAACTTACTGATTTGCTTCACAGAATGCCTCGTATTGAGAACGAACCCAAGTTGGACTTTAGAGATGTGCTGCTCAGGCCAAAACGATCCACTTTGCAGTCGAGAAGCGATGTGGACTTGGTTAGAGAGTGAGTTGAAACTATTCAATGTTTATGTTAATTCTTTGGGATATTACTTTAGATTTAACTATGGTATTTGATAAAATTAATTTTTAACCTCAATACCTTTAGATTCACATTCCGCAACTCCAAGAAAACCTACACCGGAATCCCGATCGTAGCCAGTAACATGGACACAGTAGGAACCTTCGAAGTAGCCAAGGAATTGGCCGAGCATCGTGTCTTCACCACCATCCACAAACATTACTCGATCGATGACTGGAAAGCATTCCATGAAGCCAATAAAGATACCAACATCTTCGACCACATTGCCATTTCAGCTGGAATGGCAGAGCGAGACTTCGACAAACTGAAGACGGTATGTGAGATGATCCCAGAACTGGCATACATCTGTTTGGATGTGGCAAACGGGTACTCGGAACACTTTGTCAGCTTCATTCGACGAGTACGAGAACAATTCCCTGAACATACCATCTTCGCGGGTAATGTGGTGACGGGAGAGATGGTGGAGGAACTGATTTTGGCTGGTGCTGATGTTGTTAAAGTATGGAGTTTTCAAATTTTAAAATTTTTTAATTTTAAAATACACTATAAGCTACCCTAGCCTACCTTATTATACCTTGCCCTACGTTGCTTTGCCTTACTCTACCCTATCTTATCCTATTCTAACTCTTCCTACCCTACCTTACTCTGCCCTAGCTCTGCTCCACCCTATCATATATCACTTTGTCCTTAAAAATTAAAAAAAACTTCATTTTTTTACCTAAAATCACAATTTTCCAAAATTTCAGGTAGGTATCGGACCAGGATCAGTCTGTACCACCCGCAAGAAGGCTGGTGTCGGTTATCCCCAACTCTCGGCCGTTCTCGAATGTGCCGACGCTGCTCACGGTCTCAACGGTCACGTTATGTCGGATGGTGGCTGCACCAACCCCGGCGATGTCGCCAAAGCGTTCGGAGCCGGCGCTGACTTTGTCATGATTGGCGGACTCTTCGCCGGACACGACCAGAGCGGCGGAGAAATCATCGAAAAGAACGGGAAACAGTTCAAACTCTTCTACGGAATGTCCTCGGATACGGCGATGAAGAAGCACCATGGCTCTGTAGCTGAGTATCGTGCCAGCGAAGGCAAAACCATCACCATCCCCTACCGTGGTAATATCAATCATACCATCCTGGACATGTTGGGCGGGTTGAGGTCGGCTTGTACTTATACTGGAGCTACCAAGCTGAAGGAGTTGGCCAAGAGGGCCACATTCATACGTGTATATCAACAAACTAATGACATGTACAATCAGCACGAGGTCTAGGGTTGGGTCGTACTGACTTGTGGAGGTGTAGAAGCAGCTCTTTCTTGTTCCAAATTGTTTTCTTTTGTGTTGAAATAAATGATTTTGAGTATTTCGAGAGTTTTTGATAATATTGAGGTATAGAGTAGAGTATTGTTATAAGAAATAATTAGGAAATAGGCATAGTATATTCACCATGGCAAGGAATGTCCTTTTCCGTTCAAGAGAAAGAGTTGAAGTCGATATCGCCAGTTGAGTACAATGAGATTTTTCTCTATCTTACAGTTAACTACATCACCAAGTTTTACATTACCCAGTTGCCTATAACAGGAGTTTTCATTGAAACTTCATTACCTATAACAAAAGCTCACTATATCAACATTAGAACCTTAAAACCTCTCAAACTTTCATCCCCTAACATAATATACCTTTTCGGCCGATACCAAAAGTAATAACCAAGGCCGACATGTTCGTATGTTAGCGAAAAAGCGAGTTAATTGTAGTATTATGTCTCTTCTTCTTCACATGCCACCCCTCTAATCGATACCTACACCAGATTACCTGAAATTACACTCTAACATTTGTTTTCACTAATGTAAACATGTCGTATACGAAGTTAAATTTAAGTATATCGTATATACTACTAAAGTTAATATTTTATTGTAATATCTTAGTGGGTTTGGTGAGTATAGTAAGTTCAATTCATTTGGGATTGATTGAGAACGATGAACGACTGGTCGACGTCTGTAAACATGCTGTGGAAGATGCTAAAGTCGCTAAACATTGCGACAGTAATGTGAAGTAAGTTGGATACATTTGTCTGAAATTTCTAGTCTTATTATAGTATAAAAATGAAAGCTACAGTGAATTCTTTACAATTAGACCCATCTACTGCAATATTTTCTGTAAAAAAAGTTCTAAAATTCTGAAGTTTATAATTTTGTTACCTAAATTTTGGCCTAAATATCAAGAGTTAGCTTTTTTGTTACCTTAAACACGTTAATATGCCCTTTAGTTAACAGAAAGTTAACAGAAAATGTAAAACAACTTCAAAAAAAACATCAAAACCTGGTAGACGAAGTGTCAAACCGTCAACGAAAGACATTTTTTGTAGGGGTGAGAAACGGGCCGGCCTTGAGCTAAAATTGAAACGGGCCGGGCTTGAAAATTGGGCCCGGGCCCAAAAAAACTTTAAATTTTTAAAAATTTTAAATTTTAATCCCCGTTGTTGTTTTTTGATTTTATTGGGTACCATGGTACATAAATGATCTAAAAGAACAATGCAAAGTATATTAGGCTTTTTTGTTACCTATTCTTACATTTTTTACTTGTTTTTCGGCTTCTCAACGCCTTCAGCGATAAATTTTCTAACGTTTGTCCCAAAATTATATTCTTTTGGCCAAAAATTTAATTTTTTGGTGCTGCAGCATGCTGTAACTTATTATTTCTATGTTCTTTTATATTCCGTTTAATGAATCTTCGTCTATGGATAATAAACAAGCCATATATATCCGGCTGGTTCGGTTTGAATACCTGTTGTTACCTAAAACAATGTTTTATTAGTTATTATCGCCTCTAAACATTGAAATTTCAGAGTTCTGAACATAACAGAATGTACATCTCCATACGACTTGATAAATGCATTGGATTTGCACTTCAAACAAGATGCTAGCACTTTGGTATTGGGTGATTGTGATCAAGAAACGTTGGATTTGGCCAGGTTATCTTCAGGCTTTACTTTTCCGGTTTTTGTCAGGACTTTTCAGCAACCACATTATGCTATTCAGTCTGAGTTTCCCAATGTTATTTATGTGAGTTTGAGAATTTTTAAAGTTGTTTTACTTTTTTAGGTATTTATTACGGACAACAATGATCATAATGGCGTTTTTACAAAAACATGAATAATAACAAGTGTAATATAAAGAATAATCTATATAAAGGCTTTTTTTAAACTTCAAATGCTGTGTTGTTTTCTATTTTAGGCTTTAAAGACCATTTATTACCCATTTTAGACCTCAAAAGCTACTTTAATACCTATTTTTCTCTCCAGAAACGATATTAATACCAATTCCAGACCCCAGACACAGCGATCATGTTTATGGCCCAAACTTTGACCGATCTTCTAAATAGATTGACTCTAAAACAGATTACATTTATTGGTCCAGCAGTGAATCCTGAGAATAGTATGGTGCCATTGACTGATGTGTTTTTGGCAATGATGAAAGAGCTAAATACGGTTAATATCAGTAGCGTGTATCGAGTAGACGAAGTACGATGGGAAAACTTGGCTTCGATTAGCAAGGGGATCAAAACTAACGTCAAATGTAGGTTTTGGATTCATATTGTTGTAGGTAGATATTGGGGGTGGTTTTTTGTTTTTTTTTCATAAGTCGGCTTGCTTATAACAAGTTTTAACAATAATTGTTATGACATACTTCCATAAGGATGGTAATCCACATATATACAACTTGATCTTGTTTTAGGCGTGGTGAGCTGCTTATAAAACGATGTCATTTTAGGTGTGGTAATAGACGCAAGTTTTCAAAAACTATCTACAGTACTCAGCTCGCTTGGAGTAATTGAAATGGGACAAAACAATGTATTGGTGGTACTATTATGCCGTGATTCATATACTGTTTGTTCGAAAGACGTACTGGCTGGGTATCAAAAGAGCAAAATGGTTGTGGTAGGTTTCAAGTATCTATAACAATATATTCAAATCTGTAAAGGTGCTATGTTCAATTTTTTGGTCTAGCCTTTTTCAAATTTGCTTTGGTTAGCTTGGTGACTAGCCAAGGTCGGAACGGGCCTAATGAACCGGTCTATACATAATATCCTTACCAATACATATCTATTACTAGGGCTAGGTTGAAGACTGTGCTTTGAAGGACAAAGTCAAGTCATACTATTTAGTATTATACTTTAAATTCACATTGAGATGTAGTTTTATGATTTTTTCCAGCTAGCTCCAAAATACGACAATTACGATGATCATATAGCCAAACTAACTGAATGGATACCTGACATTGATCTTACTCAGGTAAAATACGTTTAATTGTGTTTCCTATTGTTTATGTTTTTTAATATCAAATGATGTATCTTTAGACATTATACACCGAGCTGATAGTAATGTACGACATATGTTACACTTATTGCTATTGCACATTGCAAGGACAGTATCAGAACAGAGATGCCATGTTTAGTGTGTTGACCGGCAAAACTATTCCTGGAGGTAAAATACGCACTTCAGTTCTTTCTCTTTTAATATTATGTTGTTTTAGGTATTGTTTTTCTAGGGCTGGGTAATGGGAGCGGTGGGGTTGTTTTTTTGAAAATATTAGGTTGTTCAAATAATTCTGTACTCTTCTTGAAGTAACTTTGTGGGGTTAGGGGGCGCAGAATTATTTGAACAACCTTATATTTTTGAATTTTTGTTCCTCTCTTCTCCTTTGCCAGACCCGAGTTACCCACCCAGTATTGCCTACAACAACATTATACCATATATTATCTTACATATACTCTACCTTAACATTTCCAGGTCAAATGGGCACAATCTCATTCGACGGCAACACAAACTACATCCGTGACATTCAAGTACTTCAATTTCAAGAACCAGACAATGATGATTTTACCGTAGTAACCACTGCCAAAGCTATTGTGACCGAATGCAAAAGATTCACATGTTCGGCCGTTAACTTTGATCCAGCTCAGTTCAATTTATGGGATGAGGAGCTGAAAGCTGAGATTCCGTTTTGCTATTACAACGGAGGATGCACGAACTATATGCCATTGATTATAGGGGGTGTTTTGGTGATATTGGCATTGGTGATTGCTGGTGGAATCTATGGATATCAGAGAAGGTGAGAGGGGTGTTTTGGGTATTTAAGAGTGTCAGTATTATCAAGAAATGATGTAAATTGAAACAGATTTTGTGTAAAATACGCGGAACCCCTTAATTTCCGTTAAATTTTACTAATTACGTTCGAATTCTACTTTATCATTGCTTTACTGTATTCTTAAGTTTACTATAATATTTTTATTTTACATGTACGATATTGTAGTAAATAGAAGTTTTCTTGAAGCTCTATTCTAGTTGTATTATACATCTGCACAAGTCCTACCTTATTTTGTACTAAGGTGTAGTTTGCTCTACCTTATTCTATTGTCTCGTAGCCATATCCTAGCTTTATTAGAATTTTAATCTAGTTATATTAGTACAGTCAAACCTTTGTTACTTTAGTATGATACTCGATAGCATGACAGTATGACACGCTCGTTATAAGGACTGCCTTCTGATTGCCTTTTGTAATAGAACTGTTATCGAAAGTTACCTTAATAGTGTGAAACCTTGGTTATAATGGTACTTTGATCTAGTTCCTTGAGTGTCATACTAAAGAGGCTTGACTGTATGTAAAAGTTTTCAAAAATAATTTGTTGTTGTTTTTCAGAAAACGCCTTGACGTATTCCGAATGCACTGGAAGATACCCAAAGCTCAAATCAAAGTCATTGAAAATAAACAGGTAACTTTTAGGTTTATTGAACTTTCTATATCACCAATCGTATTTTACTAAAAAATTGTGATTAACCAAAATATCACACTATAGTGCACTACACAACTAAAAATTAAAATGATTTTTAAATTTCTAGTCCAAATCCAAAAGTGCAGCAGGAGGTGAAGACAACAGTAAAACCTCGAACCTCGTATCAAAACGTCGTGTTGTCGCTGCTTATGCTCTCCTTGGCACTTCGAAAGCCGAGTTCTTGGCGTTGAAACAAGTAAAAACTGTAAAATGGACAAAAGATGAGATGAATCAGATCACTGAGCTCAAGAGGATCAACCATGACAATATGACAACATTTCTGGGGGATTTGTTATAACGAAGGCGACAAGTTTTATGTTCTACACAGTCTGGTGGATCGAGCTACTTTGGAGGTAGGGACGGGGGGTTAGAAGGCAAGGGAGAAGGTTTTTCAGGAAGCATATGGGAGGGGCAGTGTTTTGAGATAAAAGGGGGAGGCGAAAATTAATTTTTTTTAATTTTAAATTTTGAAAAAAAATTTTTACTACGGTTACTACGCTAAACATAGTACGGTGGGTATCCTAAAGTTATCTTATCTTTCCTAGCATTATCTTAACTTTAGCTACCTTACATTACATGCTTTTTAGGAATTCATAAACGACGAAGACTTCCTAATGGACACAACTTTTAAGTCAGCGTTTCTTAGAGATATTATCAATGGTCTACAGTATCTACACAAGAGTACAGTAGGCTTTCATGGATTCTTACATCCAGCTTACTGCCTAATCGACGGTAATTGGGTATTGAAACTAACAAATTTTGGTCAAGTTAACGTACTGAATGCAGCGATTGCTAGGGAAGAGATCAAGCTGATGGAGATTGTACCTTTTAACAGTAAGTATTGGTTTATTTTGAGATTTTTTTTATTTTAAGGATTAAATTTTGTATTTATAAAATTTTCTGAAATTCCGAAAATTTTAAAAGTTAACAAATTTGTTTCAGTGTACTACAACATAGCCCCAGAGAACCTAGAAGGCATTCAATATGGTCGTTGGTATCCAAAAGGCTCCAAACTTGGTGATATATACTCGTTTGGATCACTTCTCTTCATGGTACTGTTCAGAAAAGTACCATTTGATGGAGTTTTCGTATCTCCGAAAGATCTGATCGAAGATATTCGAAAAGATGGTCGAACTCCACCGGTCGACGAAAGCTTGCCCGAGGAAAAGCCATTGGTCGATTTGATGCAGGATTGCTGGAAGAAGAATCCTGAAGAGCGGCCAAAGTTGAGGAAAGTCAATCAGGTCATTTCGACTGTTTTTGAGCTGTCGTAAGTTTGAGGGATAGTTAAGGGAGGGAGTTAAGGTATACGATTTTATTACTCTAGCCTATTTTACATTAACTTATCTTACTCTGGCCTGCTTTTTGTTGTCTTATCTTTACTCTTCTTTGGTCTACTCTATTGTACCTTACCTTACACTCAACTTTAGCTCTATCTTAGCCCTACTTTAGCTTTTTTCTATTCTTTTTATGTTTAATCTTAGCCTAGTCTTATCTAACAAGTAAGACTACTCTGATCTTATTTTAGGTTTACTCTATCTGTTTGCATCCTATCTTCTTTGAGCTCTATAAGCTATCCTTTTTGAGCTAGTAAAGGTTAGAGGGGTGGATAACTTTATAGACAACCTAACATATATTTTTAAATTTCAGAAAAGGAAACTTGATTGATCAGATGATCAAAATGAACTACTCATACGCTCAACATTTGGAGAAGATTGTAGACGAACGTACGGCCGAATTCGAAAGTCAAAAGATTATGAACGCTAAGCTACTACAGCAGATTTTACCAGCGTAAGTTTCTCTTACAAATCACTTTTTCGAAGCAATTTTTTGGCGATAGTGGGCACAGAATTATTTGAACAACCTAATAATGTATAATAATTTAAAATAATGAAATTTCAGATCGATTGCCGAAAAGTTGATAACAGGCGAATCTGTGATTCCACGGAACTACGAAGCCGCCACGGTATTGTTCTGTCAATTGGTCGACTTTAACTTCTTTTTGTCACACACAGCCCCACACAATGTCATCAGGTTCTTGAATGACGTCTTCAGCCGATTTGATGCTGTGATCGAACATCATGATGCTTACAAGGTGGAAACTACTGGAGAGGTAGGTAGTCAAAATTGAGGTCTAAGCCTTGGCAGTGACGTTCTGTGTAGGAGGTTTGTGTTGCCAGTTACATATTATACTTTATCGTTCTATAATGTGTATGAGGGGTATATTTTCAGTAACAACTTTATCTGAGAGTTATGTTGAGGGTAAAGGCCTGTGGATTAGATTAAAATTGATAATTATGTAATTGTAACTGTTTTGTAAAATACGTTATTTGATGTACTTGGCCGCATAATAGTAATGTGTATCAAAAAATTTTTTTAATTCGAAATATGAAAAAATATTATTTCAGACTTACATGGTAGCATCAGGAGTACCAAACGAGAATGACAATCGGCATGTCATTGAAATATCTGAAATTGCATTGGAATTGAGGGCTTTGTGTCAACAGTAAGTTAACTGTTTCTTTTTTGGTGGTTGATGTATATTTTTTTGTTTTTTGAACTACTATATCTCTTTTTATTCTTTATTACGTTGTTTAAATAATTATGTGCTCTGTATCTTCGAGAATTTGCTTTCAGAGGAGGCACAGAATTATTTGAACAGCATAATATATATAAAACTAACATTTTAATTTTTAAAAAGTTTTTTAAGAGAAAAGCGTTTTTCCGTGTGTATATGTTACCTAAATTTTAGCTACATAGTAGAGCACATACCAAACTGGAAGGTACAAGTCAGAATTGGCTATCATTGTGGTCCGATTGCTGCTGGGGTTGTGGGTGCTAGAGCTCCACGGTTTTGTCTTTTTGGAGATACTGTAAGTTTTTTTGATGTAAAATACGTTCTTAAAAAAGTACTTTTTAAAGTAAAAATAGCTTTTTTTACTCATTTTGGGCTTTAAATTAAATTTTAAAACTTTAAAAATATAATTTAAAAAATATTGTTATAGGTCAACTTCTCCTCCCGTATGCAAAGTAACTGCCCACCAGATCAAATCCAACTCTCCGAACCCACAGCCGATCGTCTTCGCGACATACCGCGCTACAAACTCACCAAACGTGGTATAGTAAAAGTGAAAGGCAAAGGTGATGTCAATACCTACTGGCTTGACGTCGATCCAAATGCCGAGTCCATAATGAAAAAGGTCTCCCGAGATCAATCAGATGTTTCAAGTGTACCACATCTTCCCATAGCTACACCACTACCTCCGGAGATTCCGGAAGAAAAGAAAGAAGAAGCTGAGAAAGAACTAGAAGCAGTTACAGAAAACGAGAAAGCAGAAGTGGAAGCGATGAATGAAAATGAAAAAGAGTTTGTGAAGGACGAACTAACTCAAGATTCGGTGGAAAAAGAAGAAAAGAAGTCGGAATCTCTGCCAGAAGACCCACATCAAGGGGACGAGGAGACGGCCAGGATTGATGACACGATAAAAGAGAAAAGCGACCCATTGGAGCCACAATGGATACAACCACAGCTATCTAACGGACAATTGGCTTGAGTTTGTACTTTTACATATTTTAGATTGTAGACACATCTTTGGAATAAAATTTATGGTATAATATAAAGGTTTATTGAGTAACGGGATGCATAGGATCCAGTAAAGTTAATGTATGGGAGGGTAGAGTAGTACAAGGTAGGTTAAGACAAGGTAAGGTAGACAAGGCTACACTATGATTGTAAAGAAGAGCTACAGATAAACCTTATGTTCAAATATTGTTTATATTACTCATACACAAAAATAACGGTTGTTTTTGTGAGTAATATATGGCCAAATGACTTAATTATAGTATTTATGAGCTCATAGACGATTAATGTATCACAAAATTACAAAATCTTCAAAACAATGTTGCTTTTACATTGTTAATGACTGTGAAGTCTTTAAAACATGTTAATTTATGCTCTATCGTCTATTTTATTTATATACCCATCATCTACAACATTATTATAGTATTACTATTGTCTAAATTAACATATTTTTCTTGCTTTATTTAATACTAGTGTACAATCTTGAAAGTCAGCGATCTAGATGAACGTCTTGCTTGTTTTACTTACTATTAATTTTGTTTTTACTTCAATTACAGCAAGTAAAAGATGTAGATTGAAGCTTTCTGCTAAGAAGAATGAAACAAAGACTTTGATGGATTTTATGACAAAAGATCAACAGGTAGAATACTTAAACTTGGCACGTGAGAATAGTAATCTACAGATTCTGGACTTCTACGCAAAAATGAAAGACTATCAGAAGAAATTACCAGAAGATGCACAAAGCTTTGCCAAAGCAAAGCAAGGTGAGATTGATAAGAGAATCAAAGAAGCACCAAGGAAAGTGAAGAAATTAAGTCGGAAGTTCTACAAAAAGTTTGTCGCCATCAGAAGTGATCATAACAATACGTATAATGAACATGTCATGAAGTTGAATCGAGTTTTGAACGAACCTGATAGACAGGTGTTTGATAAACTTGTCCAAGCTGAGGCTCTTGATCTTTATGAGGCTGTTATTTGATGGCTGAGACATTATCACATGTACAATATCTTTTTTTATTTTTTATTTATAATATTTTACTTATTCATGGTGAATAAGTTAATAAATCTAAAGTTTTTTGTTCAGAAGCAAGGCCACTGGACGGATGATTTTCACTGCTGCAGGGGTTGAAATCAAAAGTTTTAATCCGTGGGGTTTTTCAAACTAAAAATCATGCCAGTTTTGACTGCTCGCTCCGCCCAAGCCCAGGAGCATTAGTAATTTACAAATGAATTGGTAGTGCTAAGTGCACGCGGGCTATGTCAGGTCGGTTGCTTGGCTTATTCAGGCTTCCAACCACGGCCTGAAGTCTTGAAGAACATTTCATCAAGACTCGGTAGCTCGAGCAACAGAATCACCTGGATGGGGCTCAGTTGAGAATAGCTATAATGGTCTATTCTAACGGTTTTCATCAAACTCTCACCGTCCCCCCTCTCTTACACCTCAATTAAAAATGACATTTATTTTACTTTGTAACGATTCTCATGAAAACTACTATGCTTCAACTAGTTTATTTTACAACAAGTTAATATTTTACATTTTTCAAAGAAAAATATTATTTTTTATTTTTACTAATTGATAAATTTTACATATATCACAACTTTAACACTATCAATTTCTTGCTTTGTTTCCTTACTGGCACTATCAAACAATGACCAAACCTTTTCCATATATTTGCGGAAAGAAAGTTCCTTCATGTTTCGTAAGGCTACAAACTCCTTGTAGAAATCTTGAGCCTTTTGACTTAATTCCTCGACTTTTTTCGGTTCATTCTTAATGTCATCTTCTCTTGCCAAATTAATTTCATTCACCAATTTGAGAGCTTTTGGTGGGAACTTGTGTTGTTGATAATCAGTTATCAAGTTATAAAATTCTGGCACTGTTTCGTTGTATTTAGACATGAAAAAGGTGTAGTACGCTCGGATTTGTGTCTTATTCATATTGTCATACACATCTTTTGCTGTGGGCACTTGTTTTGTATGAACAGGCAAGTATAGGTAAAGCAGTACTGCTGATAACATATGATATTGCATGTTCTAAAAATAAAAATTCTGAGCAGATAAGGCTGGAATTGGGCTAGGGCCTACTTCTTCGGCAGAGTGGTAGATAAGAAAAATGCTTTAAAAATTTCAATAGAGTGTTTATCTTACCCTACCTAGTAAAATTTACATTGTTTTAAATTGTTCTTTTTTTAACTGACTTCAAACTTAAACCTATTCTGTAAACAAAGATTCAAATCCACACTAAACATTTGTTTTGATTCTCCTTTCTTCTTTTTTTTTACTTATCTTTTCCCATCTCTTCTTACCCCTTAGATATAAACTGCAGAAGGCTAGTACTTTATAATACTTAATGTTATTGCAATATTAAAAATAATTTTTATAAAAACTTACATTTTTTGAATTCACATTTAAAATTTTATAGTCAACACAACTACAAGTGTTTAAAACCATCATTTAAGACACGACAACATCATAATTTAATTTACATAAACTGTTAAAGAAAAGTTTTATTACTTTGAGAAACAGATTTTTTAAAAAACGTAGCTTCGACTTATTTTTAAAATAAAAATAGTTTTGGTTTGATAAACTATAAATCCAATTTTTAAAATTTGGGGCGTTTTGGAGAAATTAAATTTTTATATTATAATTACAATTATGGAACGTGTTCAAGATTAAACCATAATTATTTCAAACCTTGTATAAGCATTTGATGACTGATTTTACATTTTATTGTTAGCTATGTCTGTCTAGAATTGAACAATTAATTCTAACTTCATTTGAAAAAACATTGCTTTGAGAATGTTAATATTCAAAGCCACAAAGCTTAAAGCGTGATATTTTATGAAACACGATTTTATTTGTATTATAGTAAAAAGTTTATTGATATTGAAAACTTTTATAGTAATAGTATTCGAGCTGTAGTAATAAAATCCATTATTAATATTAAAAAATGGCAAAATTATGCTATATGTACTTGTCAAACGGAAGCAAAGCATCATTGTCGCGTAATTCCTCAATCGCCTCTTTACCTCCTTTCTTCAATATCTCAACCAGAGCTGATTGACGTTGTTTATACGTGCTGTAGTAATCTGACCTCATTTTTCGAAATTCGTAGTACAACTTCTGTGCAGCTTCACTCAGTCCGTTTACTGTTGCATCGGCCGTCTGAATTCGTCGCTGTAATTCCGCATTTTTGAAATTTATAAAATCTTGAGCTTCTTTGGACAAAGAATCCTTGAACAGGTCCAGATGTTTGTACAAGAAGATCAGAGGTACATCTTCATTTTCTCTCAACATCTTGTTGTATTCTGTCAGTTGTTCTGGAGTTACAAAGTCTGACAGTTTTTGGGTTAGGAGGTACTTTGAAGAAGAGATAGTATTTGTAAAGTTGGTCGATTTTACACTGTCATTCTTATCTGATCTACTAATTATTGCACTGTTCACACTAGTTAAAATGATGGTAGTAAGTAGAAGGTGCTTTACATAGGCCCTGAAAAAACAGTTAGATACTATTTGGTTGCATAGTAAAGTAAGAATGCGTACTTTATCTTAACTTATGCTACTATGTCTTACCGTATTTTGCCGTGTTCTGCTCTAGCTTAAACTACTTTACTCTACCCTGTCCTACTCGACCATACCTACACTATACAACCCTACTGTATCCTATTTTACTCTTTCTTTCTTTACTTCACCTTATCTTATGTTACCGTACCTAGCCCTACCCTACTTTACTCTACTGTATATACGGTACCCAACTCTCTTCATGTCCTCACTATAGATTAACTTGGTTTATCTTCAATTTCTAATCTACTCTTTCATTTTTATAACTACTTTTTTAAACTACCTTTCAACCGCTAAAAATGCCTTTAACTTTTAAAAAACTTACATTTTCAACTAAAAATACTTCCAATACAATAGTTGACGTTGAGAATAATAAATATTCTGATGTGAAAAGAAAATATCTGTTTATGTTTTATTAATGCAAGAAACATATATGCAATAAGAATGCTTTTTTACATTGTAAACGGACATTCTTAAGCATTGAATTAAGAGACCTAGCAGCGTTTGTTACATAAATTTCGTTGACACGTGATTTCAAAGGGGTCAGGAGGTATTGTGAGGTAACTCAAAAAAAGGTTTAATATAATATTATTGTATCGTAAAGCGTTTAGGTTTTGAAATTTTACTTTTTTTAAAAATATTAGCTAGGCAAAGGATAAAGCTGTGGCAAGGCAAGGCAAGGCAAGGCAAGGCAAGGCAAGGCAAGGCAAGGCAAGGCAAGGCAAGGCAAGGCAAGGCAAGGCAAGGCAAGGCAAGGCAAGGCAAGGCAAGGCAAGGCAAGGCAAGGCAAGGCAAGGCAAGGCAAGTCAAGGCAAGACAAGGCAAGGGCTAAGACTAGGACTACAACTTTGAATTAGTACAAACAGGCTAAATTTCTAATATATTTATTCAAACTTTAAAAGCTTAAAAATTAATCAAAAAAGTAAGAACTTCTCAAATTTAAAAGTTTGGCTCTCTTCAACTCCTTGATGATTTTACTACTGGTAGTGTCTATCAAGTACTGCATTTTATCATGCTCTTCCTGTAACGTCAGTTTCTTATCAGTAGAAATTTTTTCCATTTTATAAAACACTTTCTGAGCACTTTTACTTAACGTCTTTGCCTTCTTCTTAGCTGCTTTCAACTTCATATCTTCTTGTTTTTGAGCCTTCTGAATCACCTTTTGAGTATGTTTTGATAAAGTATGGTAGAATTTCTTCAACTCTGACTTTAGATGGGTTTTGGGCTGTTCGAGATTGTCTTCAACTATTCTGTACAACTTTGTCCTTTGCTTTTTGTTCAGCTCGTGGAAGGAATCTTTGTCTTTTCTACGTGTTGTTCTACATGAAACAACAAGAATTGTGGTCAAAAGGAAGATTATTGTGTAGAGGTTCATCTGGAATGGCTTATTTTAAGAGGTAGGGAAGTTATGGTTAAAATGAACAAAGGTAGGGTATGCGTAAAAGAACAAAAAGTCTTGTCGTCAATTTACATTAAGTTTCAGGGTTTAAAACAACAAGACTTTTTGTCAATGAAGTTTTACTTTTGTATACCGTACCTTGTCATACCCTTCCTTACGCTACCATACTCTATCTTAGTTTACCTTACTTTGACCTACCCTACCCTACCTTATGCCACCCTACCCTACTTTGCCCTACCTCACTCTACGCTACCCTAGCTTTTCCTACCCTATATTGCCTTATCCTATCTTGCCCTAACTTACCAAATTCAACCCTACTATACCCGCCCTTACTTTAACTTATCTTAATCTAATCTATTACATCCTACTCTGTGTTACACTACTCTTCTACTTATAGTAAAGCTTACCTTCCCATCCAAATAATATTAGTATCGTCCCGAATATAAAACAATAAAAAACCAAAATATATGGTTTGATCAACATACGATCATTAAGGGCTCTAATTTGAATTTTACAATAAATTTATATAACGTTCGCGTCGTTCCGAATTTACATAACGTTTTTTAAACTTTTGCTTCTCGGAACAAACCATTGCTATCATAATTCATGGCCTTTGTTGTCCAAAAATTGATATTCTGATTGGGATCTCAGTTCTAAAGGTCAATATTTTCGGGAGTTTTTCGACAATTTCAATGAATTTCAATGAACAAAGTGAAGAATATTAATCATGATAATGTTCTAAGTCTTATTTTTACGTTTTTCTTCAGCAGATACTTTACATTCTTTAACAAAAACAACTATAATATAACTTTTCTAATATCTAGTGCCATATAAACTTGATTTTTACAAAAAAATCTACTACAACATCAAGTTCTCTCAATAAACATGTACTATAACATCCATTTCAGCTAAAACCCCCAAAAAACAACTTTATCTAATAAACATAGCCATTTATTGGCGGTAAATTTAAAAAAACATTCATACTGACAAGGACAGTAGAGTAACATCACTTTCTGACCGAGTCCGAGTCGTCGTTGTACTTTTCCTCCTTTTCCTTGGTAAAATTCTCCAGAAAACCACGTAGACCACCCGGCTTATCCTTTTCTTTCTCTTTATCCTTATCGACCGTATCTTCGTGAGCCTTTCTGGCTTTGGTGGCCGGTTTCCTCGCCTTTCTGGCCTTGTTTTTGGCGTCCGTTTCGGCCGCAAAATGCTTCACGTAGGTGGTATAGTGGTGGAAGAACTCTGCAAAGATTGAGGTGGTTATAGGTATAGTAAAACATGACTAAGGTAAAGCAAAGTAGGGTAGAGTAGGGTATAGTAAAGGAGGTTAGGATAGTGTGGAGTAAGGTAGTGTACCGCAGGGCAGAGTAACCAAGAAAACAATAGAATGCTGTAGAGCAAAGTAATATGAAAAAAACAAAAACTTACTGTTACACTCGCCAAAAGAGACCGCTTTCTGTAGGACAGCATACTGTACCATGGCAGCGTGCATGAACACATACTGATCTTCAGTCTGGATCAGCTGGCTTCTCTGTGCTCTCAGTTCCTTCAGCAGATCCGGAATACTTGGCTGCTTCAAGTTGACGATATGCCTAAAATTGTCATTGTGTAAAAGCCACAATGCCCGCTTCTACAGTACTTCTCTACAAATAGGTACTGTAATAAGTTTTACAGACTTACTGTATCAAAAGCTCCAGCATCAACAGAGTACCAGTACGTCCCACACCAGCCGAACAGTGAATAATACTCGGACTGCAAGTGTAGTACCGTGGATGGACCAGCAGTTTGAAGGCGACAGTACCATTTTTTGGTACCGTTTTGTCTGGCCATGTGATCCAATGATGGTGCTCGACTTTCTTGGCCGTTCCGCCGTACTCGAGCTTCAGCTCTGTGTAGACGACGTTCGGATCAGTAACTGTGTCAATATTGTCGGTTGTGATGGTAAATGGTCCTACTGTCTTCGGTGTGTTCACCACTGTTGGCCAGTACTGTAACATAAAAATAAGAATAGAAAAAACATAAGCTTGAGTCAATAGCAACAAGGATGTTACAGTAGCCATATTCTCCCTCTTACCTGCGCACACTTTGGCCTCTTCAACTCAAGACACTGGCACAGCATGATCACTACCACAACATTCTCCTGCCAAACCAACCGCCAAAACTCGAGTATTGTATGCTCCATGGGACCTTGAGTACAGATGAATTTGTTTTTGAACAGCGGATGAGTGACATAATTGGCGTGGATAAAGTCGTTCTCAATGTCCGGCGGAAAGTTGAGCTTTATCCGAGTCTGATCCCAGCAGTTGACGTCCTTGTACCTGCATTGCTTCTTGTGCGCATCTTGAGTTTCTCGAGTAAGATGTGGCGGTTTATACTTGGCAATTCCCTCGTATTCTTCTGTCAGTTTGGGTATTCCATCGCCAATAATCTGACGAGCCAGTTTGGCAAGGTGCGACTTTTGACTCTCGTCCAAAACAATTTCTTTTTGGCTGAAATTTAAATTATTAGGACGTTACAGTAAGCTACAGTAGAAACAAAGCTACTAAATAGTTGGAACCAAAAAAAAATTTAGTTCAAGAGATAAAGCTACTACAATATCCGCTGCTTCATATAATACAACATATTGCCAAAACAAATATTGAAAAAAGCTTTAACCAAAATTAAAAAAAAAACTTACTGTAACTTCTCCTCAGGATTGAAGACGCCATTGTCTGGTGTTTCACCTGAGGGGCTTTGGACTGTAGCAGAAGGCTTGCCTCTTTCTGCAGATCGATTGCCCGCTATCACCAACTTCTTGGTCTTTTTGAATGAATTGTCCTTTTTGTCCCGTCTGAAAGTTATAAATTAGACATCATATAGCCATTGAAAAGTCAAAAAAAGTTTGAAAAAGCAAAAACATTACCTAAAATTATCAAAAAAGTAAAAAAACCACCAAAAACCTATAACAATATCAAAACTCACTCGCCACCCCCAATCGGAGTAGATTTCCGTCGATTATTCTTACATACAGAATCCGTAGCTCGTCGTTCGGTCGACATGTTCGCAGCTCTATGTTTCGGAAGTCTGTAGCTAAAGGCACGGCCACTTGTCTACAAGAATACTCCCGCCGTGTAACAGTGGACGGTAGAGCAAGCAACCGGCCTCGATGGTATAAATGAAAATGAATGACAAGAACTCGGAATGAATTTCTAAAATTTGAATTTTCAAGTTTTGAAATTTGAAAATAAATAATTTTAAAATGAGAAATTGTTCTTGTACTTTTCAAGTTAAATTTTTACTTGAATATCAATGTCCTTTTTATCTCTGTAGTATAAGATAAAGATAAACAGAATCAAATTATAACTCATAATACGAAAAAAATCTTCTACTTTGTGAAGAACATCAACAGGCTTATTATAAAAGCCAAAATCACCTAAAAAAGAACAAAAATAATATTGTACTTACCCAATTTTTGACGTTTATCCAGGTCTGGATCCAGGTTGTGTTTCATAAGTCAAAAGAATATAATTTACTTAACTTTAACACCAAAGATCCTCTCCACACATCCAATAATGGCTTTTAATCACCCAAGTAATCATTTATTTCCTTTACGACCCAAAAATCGGCAGCCGATATTGTTGTAGTCTGAAAAATACCAAAAACAAAGCTACATTTTAAAAATAATAATATTATACAAAACATTAAACCATTGTAAATCTAAATAAATACCTTATGCGTCCACAAACTCAAAGGTTAACCTTATCCGTCTCCACCCGTGTCGACATTATCCATGAAGGCCTTGAAACAATCCAAGCTTGAACAAAAACTGTTAAATCTATTTCCGCTGATCAAAACTGAACTCCTAAAAACAAAAAATAACAAACAATCATAAAACTTACTCTGTATTCCACTATTCCATCCATGTTACAGTGAAGAACATCGATGAAAGAGAAATTTCCGAAAAATTCAGAATCTGCTTTCCGGATCAATAAAAGATCGAAGTGTCACAAAGTGAAATGCATTTATCAATGAAAGTTGTTCTATTCTAAAGTTTTTTTTGATGTTCTAGGTTGTAAATAGATGTATTAGTGGAAATCTTGATTATTTTATGTTTTTAGGCACCGAATCATCTGGAGCATGATAATCCGAAGAAACGTCAAAATCTGGGTAAGTATAATATCGTTTTTGTTGATTTTGGGTAATTTTGGCTTTTTTAAGAAACATGGTAATGTGTCTTACAAAATATAGGGTTTTCTGCTTCTTTTAAGCCTAATTTTGTCAAGTTTTAAACGTTTTATTGAAGTAAAAAGTGTTATTAACTTCAAGCGACTTGATTTTTTGATGGGTAACAAAATTGATTATAATATTTGATATCGTTGTAGCCTAACTGTAACGAGAAGCAGCGGGTTAAATACACATAATAAAAGTTCTTTATAAAACTCTATAGCTAATCGTGTATGCATTTCTATTAATAGTAAAGCAATCTCGTTGTTTACAATAATTAAAAGTGTAAAATAGCCAAGTTTTTCTTGCACTTGAGTACACCTCTTGTTTGGAAGGCTATTAAAGCTTCGTATCCAGTTTTAAATAACTGTTGGACTCAACAAACGAATAGTAATTAAAGTATTACACTTGTTTACGAATGTATATTTAGCTTATTTGTTGAATCTTTTTGGATTAGAAAGCTAAATTTTATGGTATTAGGAGAAATTTAGGAGTTTCTAATGATACCATAGTTGAAACTTGTTGTAAAAAGCTAAAAGTAACATGAATTTGCGTTTTTATATTGCCTACTACAATATCCAAGGTTATTTATAAATGCTTTCTCATTATTCGAATTCTTGCGAGCAATGACACGAAGATTGTCCTCTTCGAAGCGTTCTTCGTATACCACCCAAGGATACTTATCCTTTTAATGAAACAAAGAATTCCCTTTTCAGACATCTAGTGTTGTTTGGCCGCGTTAAGTCACTCAAATAATATTCCTTTCCTTTATTAGCCCTAGAGAGAAGTACAATGGCCGGGAAATGTGTTACTTATGTTGTCTTTTTTAGCCGTGGTAACATGTGTATGGGTTCTTTTGAGTGGTGAAGGCGTACATTACTTTAGAATAAAAAAATATTTTTTTCTAGAGTTAAAAATATGTTGTTTTAGAGTTTAAAAAACTAGTTTAAGGTGATACACATGAAATGAAATGTGTTTTAGCTGCCTTTCATTATTTTTAAAACTTTAAAGCTTTATTCCCCTTTTCAACTCAAGATATACACTGTGAGATGTGAGGTGGTATGGTGAGGGTTTGGTGGAGGCTTTCAGAAAAAGATATTGTAGCTGTACCCAATTGGGCACCGTCCAGGTGATCCTGTTTCTCGAGCTACTGAGATGTTCTTCAAGATTTCAGTTTGTACTTGGAAGCCTGTGTAGGTCAAGCTACTCCTTAGTCATAGTCTTGCGTGCACTTAGCACTGATTCGCATTATAGACAAAACTAAAATACAATTTTGTTTTTTGATTGTAAAACATGTCATATTAACTTGTAAAATGTGTTTTTGTTATTTCTTGCAAAATTTGGTCAATGTAAATTGCTCTTCTGGGACTTGTGGTGATAAATATGACCAAAACATAGTCGTAAATGTCATTTCTTTTCTGTGTTTTGGCAAAAAATATGTACTACTATATAATCACAAAACTTGTTTTCTTTTTGCCTGTTTTTAGTAAACCAAGCTCTTGTTGAACCAATTTTATTAACAAGGCTTAGTGCATTTTTCTTGTCAACTTCAAAATTAATTTAACAAAAATTTCAAAAAAACTTTAAGTTTGTTTAAAAAAGTTTACTCTTTGCTTTGCTAGCCTATGCTACAGTATTAGCTACGTTTTTGAGTACGACAAGGGGTGATCAGGTGGAAAATTTGTTTTATTAAAAAGTTTTAAAAAAATTTACGCTACAGAGCTTAAAAACGTGCCAACATGTCAAGTTAAGAAGTGTGCAAAGTTTTGCTTGGACTTGGGCCAAACTTCAAAAAGTCATTTTTTTAAAGTGTTGTTTTTGCTGTGACTTTTGGGGTTACAAACTGTCTTTTAGGGCTATATTAGGGTATTTGCTTCATAAACTGGGTTAGGCAGGTAATATTGGCTTACATGGGAAGTCACTTAAATCGTACCTCGACTTTAAGTCGAGACCTATATAATCTTACTCCTGTAATCACTGAGTATGGATCTGAAACCCGTTTTTCCGTATGGCGCTTAGTTTTCAAGAAAATCGACTTTAAATTTTGACCGTATCCCCAAAAGGAAAGCGCGCGAGGGTCTATCGGAAATAACGAAAATAAATCAAGTAGCGGCGTGGCGCAAAGGGTAAAGCGTTCGGTTTTCGATTCAAACTACGTGGGTTCGATTCTGGAGCCTCTGAATCATTTTTTAACAAATTTCAATATGCAAATTTATGTAATTTTTGTAGTTTTAAAAAATGAAAATTGACATAATTTCTTTAAATAAATAAAAAATTATTAAAGAACATTACCTAAAGCAATAATATATTAAAATAAACAAAACTCATGCTTTTTGTTCATTGTGCTTTGGGTGTCATCATCGCACTTGTTGTGGGGTTCCTGATGTTCGATTCGGACACGGCGACAGCATCGATGCTGCCTACAATGACCGAATCGTGAAGACAATGTTGTAATACAGCAGATGGTGATTTCGACGATGAATCAGAGGAGGACTTGATTGAGGATAGGAATAATACGGCGGATCCAACGTACGAAGATGTAACCGACGAAGATAGACGAAAAATATATGTCGTTAAGATTATGCAATTTCATCTAACAATAATATTACAAAAATTACATAAATTTGCATATTGAAAGTTTTGTTAAAAAATGATTCAGAGACTCCAGAATCAAACCCACGTGGTTTGAATTGGAAACCGAACGCTTTACCCTCTGCGCCATGCCGCCAATTGATTTCTTCAAGTTATTTCCGATCGAGTTTTCAGCGCGCTTCCTCCTTTTAGGGATTCGGTCAAAATTTAAAGTCGATTTTCTCGAAAACTAAGCGCCATACGGAAAAACAGTTTTCAGATCCATACTCAGTGATTACAGGGCTTTAAGAATATATAGGTCTCGACCAAAAGTCGAGGTACGATTTAAGTGACTTCCCATGTTAGGAGGAGATCATTTTATTATGGGGCAATGGTTTTTTTAAGGTTTTTGTTGCCTAAATTATTATTTTTTTGTTTTTAAAACCCACATTTTTTTCAAAAATTGCAAAAAAAAATTCTTCAAACAGGTGAAATTCAAAAATTATCGACCAAAAAAAGGTTGTTTGTTCTCGGAACGACTGGTAATATTGTTTGTCTTTCTTGGCATTATTCGATTATTTTGCGACAAAGTTAGGGACATATCTTTCCTTGCTTTTTATGAAGGCGGATTACTAATGTTATTTACACAGTTTTTTGGAACTTTAAAAATATGGGTTCAAAATGACATTTTTTGAAAAAATTTCGGGGTTTTTAAAGGATTGTTATAGAGGACATAAAGAAAATGTTATTGTACAGGTAGTCTATAGCGAACTTTTTCTTTATAAGATAGTTTTTGGTCTAAATATTTTAGGTTTATCTATTAGGTTTTTCTAATAATTCTGAGCCGCCTCTTAAAACAAATTTCTGGGGTAAGGAGCACAGAATTATTTGAACGACTTAAAATGAAATATAATGAGACTTTTCTTTAGAAACTTTTTTTCGAATTTGAAATTTTTATAAATTTTTATGATTTTTCTAATTTTCATTTCCATGTACGTTCTATAATATATCACTTACAGTGTTTTCCGACCTTTTTTTGTGTTTCATAACTCGCCAAGTTCGTTCTCAAAACTGTGTAACCAAGCATTCGGTCCAGACATTTGTTTTTTCTTTGTCTAAACTTATCGTTTTGGCATTTTAAATAGCTGTCTATTGAAATTATTTAAATTTTGAAGGTGGAAACGATACTTTCTTTTGTTTTCAACAAAGAAAGGAAATTTTGATAGGTTTAAGCTTAATTTTTTAGGCATAAGATATATAATAC